TAATAACCGGCTAGTTTTTTTAGCAGTTTTTAACTGATGAAAGGTATGAGTTTCAAACAGAGTCTTACTTTTTTCATCAAATTTTCATGACTGTTCAAAGAAAAGACGTGGTGTACGCCTTCAAATACATAAATTCTACACAAATAGAATGTGTGGCAATTCTTTGGTATAGATATTATAATCATTTTCCGAAATCTGGTTTCTAAACTTCAATGATTAAGTTTTTGCGCTTAGGTTTTATAGAACAATCGAATACTTTCTTTTTTTTCACAGCGCACAGGTATATTCAAATCTGACGTGTAACAAAACATTAGTAAATATAAAAAATATCTAGTGTATGAGAGCCGTCAGTTTAGGATTCATGCTAATCTGAAATGAGTCTAGAAATATCATGTAAGATATCCATGATACCAAAATACTTAGTTTCTAGTAAAACTCATAAACCTTTGATTATCTGTGCTAAAATAAAATAACCAAGCACAAATTGAATGTTATCAAGATCACATGAAAGTACACAAAAGATATGAAGGACATCTGTCAACAAAAGTATGCATGGTGATTCAGTAGCAATTTTATGTACGAGTAAAAGAAACGAGCAGAAACCGCGTTTCAGTAAACTGAAGTCGAAGGAAAATGATCTGGACATTGTGTGTTTATGTTATCGAAAAGAACATCTGTGAAAAGTCTAGAACTGTTGGTCTGAGTGTTTTATTTTCTTCATAGTTTCATTAACTCAAGTTATTCAAACTTATTTGTAATTGTTAATTCAAACCTATAAATTCTATATCTGAAATTTGTTTTACTCTCATATTATTTCAGTCACTAAAACACGCACAAATCACTTAAGCATCTTTTTTTCAGAGTATATTTTATATACATTTTGATAGTACAGCTCTTTACTTAATGAACAATTGAATGAACGTAACGATTATTCAGCTTAACACTCAAATGATAAGATCTACTAACAAAAATAAGTATATAACAAGAAACTTTACACGAATTAGAGAACAGTAAAAACTATTGCATATACACTATCATGTATTCTAAAGAATTCCCTTGCTATAATAACAAGATCAATTAGAGAGCCTTTTAGACTGACTTTTGAAACATTTAAAAATAGCAATAATTGGAAATTGTCAATCGAAAAAGTATTTGTTATTCTGATTTTAACATAAATATTAACAGAAATTGAAAGTATAAACGGATAAAACGATTTTTTTTTTTGAGATTTAATTCTCCATCTGGAAAGACAGTACGTATGTTTCACTCATATGCTCATTTTCGTTCTATGCTTCTTAGTCATTCATATAGAACATTAATCCAACGAATAGTTAACAATAGTATTGTGACTACATAAACAACATGTTTTCGATCAAACGAGAATGAATTATTCTCTCTTAGTCTAGGTATACATCAACGATTATAGACGTGGAAATGTGCATATGTATATTCTGTAGTCGAAGACGAAAAGCAAGAAAAAAAAAAAAAGAAATTATTTAGATCGTCTTCCTATTCCTTCATTCGTTGTCATTTTATTTCTCTTTGAGATAGACAAACGCAAATAGTCATACGTCATTTGCATCGCATGGGCGACGACCGGAATCAACTAGTACCTAGTTCAACTGGGAATGTAAATCTTTTTTTTTTTTTGTTTATCAATTTATTTTTCATATGAACAACTTTTATTTTTATTAGAGTCCATTTAATAGTCATTACTTGTCTGCTATTCAACGACCTCTTCAATCAACGATCTTTTGTTACAATTGTAAGATTTATTCGTTATTATACAAAAAAAACAAAAATATTTTTTCCATTTTGATATAGTTCTTTGCGATACATTGGAACCAATCTCTTCAATTTCGACAGATTATCATACACATGCATCACGTATACAACGCGTTGGTCTTCATCAATATTTATTTGAACATACAAATACTCTACTCGTAGGTTTGTCAATATGATTTAAAATATTTTACTAATAATTTTTGTTTTTCTATCTTCTTCTACAGTTACTTGAAGCTCGACAATCACATACATTAAATTTTAGTCTTCTTTGGCTTCGAACAGTCTTACAACGTTCAGCAGTTAGTCTTATATGGCGTCAATCAATTGTTAATTGGTTAATTGGCATTCAAGTTTGCTTTTTTGTTTTACATACATTAATATAATGAAAAATAAATTAAAAACTGTTTTTAGCGTAAAAATCATATGAAAGAAGAAGTAGCGCAACATTGTGTTCGACTTCTTGATGCGCGAGATACATTACGTGGTCATTATGATCGTGATTACCAATTACGTGCTATGGGTTATTTTATTCTTGTTGCAAAATTTCATAATCGTATTCAAGTGAAAGTAAAAATAAAACGAATTTTTTTTTCCAAGTTTTTGTTATGTTGAATATTGTATGATTTTAGCTTGAAGAATATTCTCGTTATTCAGCTAATGCATTTGATCCACGTGATATTGGTCATATAGTTCGACATTTATTTGCTGAACTTAATTTTGATTTTCAATTACCATTACCACAAGAATTTGTCGAACTTTTTCTGGAACTTAATTCAAGTGAAACATGTAAATTAAATGAACCAAAAGTAAATAAATTTCTTTTATTTTATTTTAATACTGTTATTTTTTTTTTTTCATAATTTTTAACAGATTCGAGCACTAAGTAATTTATTTATTCATGTTGCCTGTATTCAATCATGGTCAAGCTGTTTTAATGCATCACTTCTTGCTACTTCAGTACTTGTTCTTTCACTTAAATTTATGCGTCAAATTCGTCCGGATGTACCACATTTAAATTATATTTTATGGACATGTACTTATCCAATTGAATTAGTTCTTGGTCTTGCCGGTTATATAGCTATGATTGTTGCTGATATGCCTAGTGAACCAACTGATCGTGCTAATCATTATTTCGTAATATAAAAAATAAAACTAATTTATTAGTTTTCATTTTTTATTTTTATTTTTGTTTTGTTTCAGTATGCAACAAAACTTTATAATGATGAATGTCACCATGAAGCTTATTTTAGTATAAATCATATAAAAAATTTTTGTCGAGAATTTGTTCAAGGTTCAATGGTTAATCGACAAATAGCATTAGGTATGCGATCACTGGTATCTCAACAACGACAAATTATTGAACAATCTTATTTTACATCACATCCATTCGTAACAGTGACACATACAACACCATTACTTAATCCAAATTCAAATAATTTATCACGTATTATAAATGATACACCTCGAAAACAATATATTGATCAACAAGAACAAAAACAACCTATGCGATTAACTGTTCGAGCTGTTCTTGCAGCTAAACGATTTGGTAAACAAGTTATGGAACGTCGTCGAATACGACAAAGACAAGATATGATAACCGTTACATAAAAACAGGACTATAATAGGAGCTTTTTTTTTTTTCAAGACGTCAAAATTTTTAACATTCTTTATTAATGTTTTGAAAAAGCAACAAAAAAAAAATCAGTAAAATCTTGATAAAAAACGAATTTCAGATGGCAACGATATAAGTTTATATTTCAGTGAAGTTTTTCTTTTTCTTTTTTTTTATTTGAACAACTGTATTATGTATAAATAGATATAGTATGTAGTGATTTTCATTTCTTTTTTTTTTGTCATTATTTTTTCACGAAAGATGATTAATAAACAGAGATCTTTAATATATTAACTTTGAAGTTTATTATGCAAAACAATGTTTTAATGTTTCTACCATTTTTTTAAACTGCATATTATCTTGATTTAAATATCTTTGAATAAAATTCATTTTGCAATGTATCCAAAGTTTGAACAATTTGGTTTTATATTATATACTTGTAAATCGAAAAAAACCTTTATCAATGAAGTATAGCTCTCAAAAATTTATTGATTGATACTTTGTTAATATTTTGTAGTAACAATCATTAACAACATAATCTTTCATAACCCAAAATTTTTGTACTATTGTGACCATTGTTGTATAGTCTGAAGTAATATCTATCTACTGAGTACGTTTGAACATTCAGAAATTGTTTTCAAGCGTTACAAACTTTGAGAAAAAAACACAGAAACATTTCCCATTTCTCAACTCTAGTAAGTCCAATTGAACTGAAATTTTTTACATGAGCCATACATTATATGGGATGTGTTCTTTATTTTAATTGTTTTACAGATTTTTGATAGCTCTTATAAGAAAGCTCTATTTAAAAAACCATGCTTTTTTAATAGTACCATTGATATTTTGATTTTCTTATTTGAGCGGCAAACAATAAAAAGATACTCACCTCAAATTGTCTTAGTATTTCATAGAAGGTAAAATCCAGAAATTTTGTGTCTATGAAAATTTTTGTTTAACTTGGCACGGAAAGAGAGAATATCCATAATATTTTTAATTAAATATTTTTATACGAAGAAACATATATACTCAGTTGATTTAAGAGTATCTAATATATTATGAATTAAAATCTTTGTTCATATGAAGTCAATCAATTACTAAACTTTATCAAGTTAGAACTTTCGTTTATCAATAGACATAAGAAGTACCGAAGCAGTTGGCATTGGGAAATCGCGATTTTGTTTGTCAAGAAAATGCGCGCAAAATTTTCGGCTCTGCTAAGAAAAACAAACAGGTTTCTTGATTGGGGTATGACACACTCCTCGGATCGGATCATCTTGGAGCATGAGCTCATTTCATTTTAGTACATTGATGATATTAAAATTTATTTCAGTATCGTTTTTTGTGACAATCTCTACGATTAAGTTAAAATTAAATCACATATTTAACTATCTACCAATCGTATAAGTTTACCTCGAAATAAATCGTTAAATCGAACTATTCAATAAAAAAAATCTGTTTTTTTTCTCTCGTGTTTATTGAACGTTTTCTATATATGTTCATTTGAAGAACGTTTAATCATCATGGTATGTTGAATTTTATTGTCGATTTCATTTTCATACTGATATTTATCATACAATAGGATCATGAAAAGTCTTTTCAATCAATGGGAACCATTCAAAGAGTTGTTAAATTAAATTTATTATCATCCGATAATCCAGGTTTAGTCGATGGAGTAAGTTTTCTCCTCTTTATGGAATTGAAATGGGATGTGTTGTTTTTTTGTAAGATCATGTACGGTATCGTTATTGGTAAAGTTGAAATGCGAACATTTGAAGGAAGTATGTAATTAGTATTTTGTTTTACTTTTTATTGTACAATGTTGATTTAAGACGATCGTCATCAACGAAGTGTACTTAACTTTACATTTCGAGATTCCATTAAAGATTTTGTTAATATTGCTTATTGGCTTCCACCAAAAGATTTAATTATTATTAGTAGTAAATTTACAATTGGAGATGTTGGTATGAATATTTAGATTTAATTTAAACAAAATAAATAAATAACTTTGTTTTGCTAGTGGCAATTCATTATCCAGTTGTAAAAGCTAAATCAGATGAAAAAGCAAATACTTATACACCATGGACACCTTTGTATATTTTTATTATTTTTTTTTTTATTGCTGAACTCATCTAGCATATATTCACATATTTAGATCTATTGAACTATCATTAAATGAAAAATCATATGTAGAAAAAATTGAAGGGCCAAAAGCAAAACAATATGAATCTTTAGCTTCTGTACCTTGTCGAGCAGGAAATGATTATTACACTTTAGCACAAATCGTTACTCATGGTGAACAATTAGTAAAAAAACTTGATGGAATTAATGTTTTAGCTGGTGTACAACAAGTAGTGAAAAATTTAGTTTGTTTATTTTTTTTTTTTTTTTTTTTGTGTTTTCTTTTTTGGTCAGATTGGTGCATTGAAAACGATTCGAACACGACGACAACGTGAAACTGATTATGATAATGAAGAAAAACAACTTTTAGAAATCTTACTTTTTGATGGAGAAACAAGTGGAGTTTGGTTAACATTTTGGGATAGTGAACAAATCAAAGTGATCAAATATTTTTCTTTTTAAGAAATTATTTTAATTCTATTATTATTTCATAGTTTGCTCAACGATGGATACCTGAAGAACATATTATTTTTTGTGTGGGTTTACGTGTTCGTTATGATGAATATCGAAAAGTTTATGGACTAACTGCAACTCGTCAAAGTTTATTTACTATTAATCCAGGTAGTCATCTTTATTGTAAAGTTATTAGTGGATAGAGAAGCAAACAAAATTGGTTTTTCTCATAATCTTGCATTAAGAGTACTCATCTTCTTGTTTTTGACCATTTCAAGTAGAAAAAAAAATTTAAAGAAAGTTGTTTCAGAATACTTGGATTTTCTATAGGATCGTATCCTGTCACAGTACGATCCTAGTCTGCCTCTTATTAGATCATGCTGAAGCTTTTAATATATCTATCGTTTTCATTTTTAACTTTTTGTATCCGAATTTATAGGGTTCTGAAACTTAATACTCTGACATTCGCCTCGATTTTTCAGGTACTTCTCTATGTCGAAAAAGTTTTCTTGAAGTGTTTTTTTCTCGAACATTTGTCCTCTCATTTCAGGTACTGTATTTTAGACCAGTATTCTTTAGTATTCATTTTAATATCAAAGAGAAAAGTCAAAATGAGAACAAATCTTCTCAACTACAGCTTTTTTTTTTTTACTGTAATGAAAATGTGTTTTATGCTACGGATATTTAAATAAAATATAAATCTTAGTAGCTCTTCTTTGACAAGATAAACAATTTTAAACCGAATACTTTGAATTCTATTACAATATTAGATACGAATGAATCAGCTCAATTGTATGAATCAATGCGATCAATACCGATTGATGATTTACTCAATGTTGCCATAGACGGTGGTTTTAATGGTAAAATTTTATTTAAAATTCTATAATACTTACTTATTCTTTTATTAAGCACTTCAAGCAACAATTGTAAATATACGCGAATTAAAACAATATTTATCTGATGACAATGGTACTGATACATTTATTGTACAATGTTTTTTAACTCATTTCGATCTTGATGGACCATTAAATCAAGTGATTACAAAAAAATGGTAAATCTTAACTTTTATTTTCATTTTTATTTTTCAAAAAAAAAAAAAAACAATTAAATTCAGTCTTTTTTGTAATCGTTCTATTCGTGATAATAATGGTTTTAATGAATGTACAGAAGCTGAATGTCGTATGAAATTATTGGAACAAACCAATGATGAAAATCTTTCAACAAAAGAAGTGTTTAGTTTAAATGTTCATTTAACGGATCATACAGGTACAATAACAAATGTAAAATTAGGTGATGATGTTGCAAGAAAAATACTCAAATGTTCAGTAAGTAAAATTTTATATATCAATGAAAAATATCGAATAATGTATAGCATTGATAAAAAGATTTAGTTAGAATAGAAAAAGGGTAAGATCCAAAGATGGAACTGGTACCGGTCATTGCCGATGTATCTTAATTATTTTGTGTTTCCGAAAGTTGAGATGAACAAATTCTACTATCCGCAAATGGAATAGTACGACACGTCATCCAACAAGTACAAATTCCATCTCTGATATTATCATTGAAATATTCATTTAGAAAATACGTTATTCAACATAGGATTAGAAGTGTCAGTGTGAATGTGAGTCTTCTTTCAATCCTGGAGACATATCCTTAGTTTTTTTTTTTCATTCTATGCTTCACAATTCATTTTTTTCTTTGTGAATAAATAAAAGGTCGATGAATTTATTTTAATGACTGATGAACAAAAAACAAAACTTAAATGGACATATTTACTTGAAAAATTACGTTTTGGAATTCAAGTAATTCAATCAAAATCTTATGTTAAATAATTATTTTTGCTTGAATTTTAGATTAAAAATAATTCAAATTATGCTAAACCAATTGTACGAATAGCTTGTTTATTTCCTCGGGAATATTTACCATCATCTATCGATGATGAACAATCATAAACTTTTTTTTTTATACAACAATAATAACAAAAAAAAAAAAAAAACATAAGTGAAAATAAAAAAAAATCGTTTAACAAGAAGCTCGATTTAATACATGTTTATTTGTATCACTATAAACATGTTCTTTTGTTTGATTAGCATCAACAATAAGTACAGGTGGTGGTAATGTACGTGTTTGTGGTGAAAGCCATTCTTCATGACGTTCATGTAATTGTTTTAAATAATCAATAGTTATTGATTGTTCTTCAGATCGATTACGAAATTTTATTCGTTCAAGACAAGTTTCTGGGTTTGTTCGAAGATAAACTAAAATGAAAAAACTCAACATACAATCATAATTAATAGAAATAGCATACTAATTAAATCAAGATGACATGAATCATTTGATGTGAGCATTTGAAACCAATCATTTAAAATTTTATATTCAACATTATGCAGAATATTACTATAGCCAACAAAGAGAAAAAAAAAATAATATAAAATTAACAAAAAATTTAAAAAATTTTACTTTCGATAAAGATTTTCAATGAAACAATGTCTTGCACTATAAATAGAACGTTCCATAACTTTAATTAATGATTTTGATGGTTGTGCATGTAATTTAGCTAGTGTCATTTGAGCATTTGCTTGAAATGCAAAACCCCATCGATGTGGATCATTATAAAGCATTCCCTAAAACAGATAGAAAATTAAAAAAAAAAAAAATTTTTTATTAATCTATAGTTGTCATACTAGAAGATTATTTCCATTAAGATTTGTCCAATTTTCAATTGGTTCAGCAACAATCTAATATATCGAAATTAATAATTAATAAAACACGATGAAATATTATCTTACATCACATATTGATGATTTACTTAGATAAGCAAGAACTGTACTTTTTCTGAGTATAAAATTCGATTTTTTATCGTATTTTAATATAAATATCAATGCTTACCCTGAACCAATATTTCCTTCAACAGCAATCTATACGTAAAATACAATAAAAAAATCTCAAAAAGTTTAATCAATAATTTACTAACAGTAAATGTTTTCTTTGATGATAACATCATTTGTTTTAAATATGACTTCATCGCACCTGCAATCATACATAAATGATAGATTTACAGTCACTATATACTACTATTAAAAGATCAAAAGTGTAATTGCACAACGATTGTGCAATACGTCCCGTAAGTATCAGAAATATAAGACCAACGCATAATTGTTGTTTCTGCATGATACCAAGCATTTCTGCTTACAATTCAACTAGTGATTTGAATAGGAAATGAAGTTTTCTATCAAATGCATTCCATATCGAAATTTTATAGAGAGACTATGTAAGGAAAGTTTCGTAAAAATAATGAAACAGATTAGTTTTTAGGTCATAGAAAATTTGTAATAATTTATTTTTATGAGAAGAATCTTGAAAATCATAAAATTCTAAATAAAATGAACTATCATTGCATTGTCTACAACTTTCCCTTCTAAAATTATAACAAATACAAAATCTTCAAACAGAAAGTCAAAGGTAATTCATTGAATTTATATTGTATTCTGAATTCAATGATCTTGAAGATAATACTCTTAAAAACTGATTTTCAGATAATTCTCTCAGTTCTGACAAGCTCGATAGTTGATTTTTCATAAAATCTTCTTTTCACATTCCATCCATAAAATTTCGGTATGAAATACACTTAAGAGAAAACTTCATAGACTATGTAAAACACTATTTAAATTTTTAGTTCAATACTTAATATCACAGAAAAACATCAAAAATATATTAATCTTACATTTTTGAATAGCAATATAATTTTATTTCACTGCTTACGGAATGTTGAATATATTCTTGATATATTAAACGAATTTTGGAATAATAATGGTTTCCTATGAAGATCTTTATAAATAAAATTGATTCATTGAAATGCTTACGAACGAATCTTCACATTCATCTTATATCAAATAGATCAATAAAAATCTAATATAATCACGAACCACAGGGCACTATTTTCTGTTTGTTAAACTCTTTACTAATTTGTCTCCTAGAATATTGATCGTTTTATAAATATAAATAGAATAAACTTATGATAATTTATTTTTTTTTATTTATTTTTAATCACTCTTGTTCACTTTAAAAACAGCCTATAGACTAATTGATATGATTAACATTTCATACATAAGAATGCATCACTATGAGTCTGTTTTTAAAGTAAACAAATATCCTTCATGCGAATTAATTCGTTTGATATCTCGAATGATTGTATAACAGAATATTAATTCTATAATTGAACCAACCGATTACAAGAGTTTTTAGCGACCTCTAGTTCTTCAAATTTGATTCGTAATTATTTCACTTTCTGGGTCATTGTTTCGTTCGTTCATTCGGACGATAGAGAGAGAGAAAAAAATCAACATGACAAGAAGAATTGTTCGTCAGTTGAACTTTCCAATAGACATGTTTATTACATCCGTAGAAAAAAAAAAAGAAAAAACTGATAAAGATCTTTCTTTCTCTATTACTATCGGTTGACTGTATATCGGAGAAGGATAAGAATATTATTTCCTTCTTCTTTATACTTGTTACACTTATATACTATTTCTAGATATGACATGACCATGAACGGATTGCCGAAAGATCGTTCTGAAATACTCAATCTTATTAATGAATGGAATTCAACTCGACTTGATTTATTTAAAATTAGTGAACCTAATGAAGTTCTCGATTTTTATGGTGTTATGAGATTTTATTTTCAAGATGCTGAAGATAAAGTGACAACAAAATGTATACGTGTTGCAAGTACTGCAACAACACTAGATGTTATACGAGTTTTAATGGAGAAATTAAGACCTGATATGAAAACATTACCAAATGAAAAAGATTATTGTATTTATGAAGTTCATCCAAATGGAGGTTTGTTTGTCAATTAAATAAACAAGTATTGGAGTTTTTTGTTTTATAGATGGAAGAAAATTAGAAATCGATGAACGACCATTATGGGTTCAACTTTATTGGGGAAAAGATCAAAGAGAAGGTCGATTTGTTTTACAAAATGCAAAATTACCTAAAGTTTGTATTAATTATAAAAATAGATTTTTAAAATAAAACTTGAAATATTCTAGATATCGAAACCTATTGGTGGTAGTTTTAAAGAACGACGATCATCAAAACGTGAATCAAAGAAAAAGAAGAAACAAGATAAAGTGAGTTTGACATTTCTTCATTATTTTTTGATTTGATTGAATAGAAAATCAATATGCGTTGAATATCGCATGTTTCTTTCCATATTAGGATTTTCTATCGACGAGAGTATATCGGTAATAAAATAATGCTCTGCTTTTGGTGTATGCTTATTGCTTATATTCATTCTTGTTGGTGTTGTGAATTAATCATTTCTAATATTTCAACAGACATCTATCTTTAACAGTTTATCTAATGTAGGAATCTCTACATCGTCATATTTTCATAAATTAGACAGCTGAAGGACCACACTTCTGTGAATCTGATTCTGGATGCATCGATAAGCAATTTTTTTTCATCAATAATCTAAAATTGGATCAGAGCCAAAAATTTATATGTCAATAGGCTCGAGTCAAACTTCAAGCGGATTACAAACTAGATCTAGAAAAATTCACACTTATCTGTATGAAACTATGTTGGTTATTATGTAATTTCTGCTTTAGCATAGTTTTTCTATGTTATACCCATTAGGCTATATAAATGGTTCACTTATCGAGTCTTTATATTTGTAAAAATAACTACTTGAGTATGAATCAATCCATTAGCAATTAGAGTCAAAAGTACACATTTACAATACTTTACTAAACACTACGAACATATTCTTTATAGTCTTTGTAAAACTCTTCTAAGGAACATTGATGAGATGAAAAAGAAAAAAAACCTTAAAATATATTCTTTGAAAAAACCTGTTCTATTTCTTCTTGTCTAAAGAATGAAGTAAAATAATTTGTCCAATCATATACACAATTTTTTTTTTCTTTTTCTTATTATTTCTTTAATGTACACAGTTATATATGTACATACATATAAAATCAATTTTTTAGTCAATGAAATATTAAGTTTGTAACAAAGAACGAGAGAAAAAAAAGTTTTCTTTTTTTTTTGATCATTTGTTAAATTGACTTATTTGTCACGCATATAGAAAAATGGTATTGATGAAAATGATACTCAATCATCAACTGTAACACCAACAGCTATTGTTGAATCATTATATAAATCAGTACCTGAAACAAATAAATTCACTCGTTCATTATCAAATCCTGAGATGGTTAAAAAAATTCAACAAGATCGTTTAAAACAAAAATTTATTAAAATAAGTACAAAAGAAGGAGGTAAGAAAGAAAAAATATTTTATTACATTAAATTAATCTATTCTATTTTGAAGGTGGTACTATGAAAGTATTTGGTGATGCATTAAATCCATCGATACCATATAAAACATTTCTTTTATCAATAAAAGATACAGCTGAATGGGTTGTTAAAGAAATGCTTGAAAAATATGGATTAAAACATGAAGATCCACAAAATTATTGTCTCCTTCAAGTAAATTGTATTTATTGTTTATTTTTTTTTCAAAAAATGTTTATTTTCAAAAATTGAAGATTGTTATTCCACCACGTGATCAAATGGATAATAAAACAATAAAAGAAGTTATTCTACATGATCAAGAATGTCCATTAAGTATTTGTTTAAATCATGCACAAAAAAATGAAGGTTAACAAAAAAAATAAACAACGTTGATCAATAGAAGTTTTCTATAAAAAAACGTTTTCTTCATATAGGTTCAATTATGTTTAAAGTTGTTAAATGTCCACCAGAATATATTGAAGTTCGTAAACGTCTTCGTGCACAAGAATCCGCATTAGATACAATTCAAGCACCATCTATTCAAGATCGAACAATAAATGATCATTTGTCTATGTTTGTTGAAGTTAAAAATGGTAAATTTTTAATTTTTTCATAGAATAAAAGAAACAATAACTATAAATTTTATTATAGATGG